CTGAACTTCATTTATCTTTTCTGCCATAATACTGAATCCTCTGCTTATTTCAGTGGCACTGCCTTCTCCACCTCTCTTGAGCATAGAGCTCGTGTCATTTTCCTGCACATCTGTGTGTATGCAAGTTCCCTGTAAAAAGCTGTTCTGTTTTTTTTCCCCTCTTAAATCTAACTTAGGCCATAACATCAATAAGTTGCTCTCAATTGACCGTGGCTGGATATTTTCTGTAAACAGTCATTCTTGCTTCTTCGTACTGTGCTAATGTTGCATTTACTTTACCTCTTTACATTTTCCCAATATACAGTTTAAACTTTCTGGACTATCTGTCACTGTCTTTACAATATTTAACAGTGGTTCTGGCCATTCTGTGGTTTCATTATTTGCTCCTACAGTTTAAATTATGAAATAAAAAATTCTAAACCCAAGGAATATCACTAGAATGTGGTTGCAACTGTCTGAGGTGTCTGTAGGCTTGGAGAAACCACTCCTGGAGGTAAAGGTGCTCCTGGAGGTAAAGGTGCTCCTGGAGATAAAGGTGCTCCTTTTGGCAGAGGCAGGTACTGCTCTGAATCAGTTACTCAGTAAGCAGACTCCATTGATGATGCTGAATCTCTGACCCCCTCACAGCAAATCAAGCTCCTTAAGTTTCTTAGTGTTTCAAAAGGAATTTGAAACAAAATATTTTTTCCAGAAGTGGCTTTTGATGCCTTCGTATGCCTTCATGCACCTCATAGAAATAGCATCTGTTTAGTGTGTGCCTCTCTCTTCTCAGGTAATAAAGAAGATGAATTTAGGATGCCTTATCTCAGCCATCAGCAGCTTCCTGCTGGAATCCTTCCCATGGTCCCTGAGGTTGCACAAGCTGTAGGAGCCAATCAAGGACACCACACCAAAGAGTTCAGTAGGGCAGCCCCAAATCCTGCCAAGGCAACAGTAACAGCAATGATTGCTAGAGAGCTATTGTATGGTGGTACTTCTCCTACTGCTGAGACCATATTAAAGAATAACAACTCATCAGGCCACGTACCCCACGGACCACTTACTAGGCCCTCAGAGCAGCTGGACTATCTTTCCAATGTTCAAGGAATCCAGGTAAGTGTTCAGCTATACAAGACTTCATCCAAAGCCATTCAAACTGGTCCAACCTGTTCTTTGTTCTAAAGCTTTTTGGTTCTGCTGGTGACTGATGTATTTTGAGGCTGCTTGTTAAGCTGAAATTCATGTAAATGTTTTATTTTACCTGTGAAATGTACTGACTTTTACAGCTTTTTAAAATTTAGTTTTGAAATGTCCGTTTGTGTACTGCATCCTCAGCCTTAATTCAGTGCTACTCTGAAGTCTGGAGAATATAGTTAAATAAAATAAAATTTACTCTGAAGAATAAAATTGAAAGTAGCATTTTCTGAAAATTGCCATGATGTAGCCTGTCATGATATGAACTTGAACTTGGCTGATCTGAAATCAGTTTTTCTGATTCATCTTTCACACAATCACATTTGCTGTAAGCTGTACATTTTCTTGGGTTTGGTCCCTTTAATCAAAATTGCATGAAAGTTCCTGTATTAATATGTTAAAGGAGTTCAGTGGGTTAAAAAATTATAATAGGGAAATCTTTTAATGCAAATAGCTATGATTAGGATAAAAGTCCCAGCAAGTATCATTACTGAGTAGCCAGTTTTGTTCAGAAGTCTTGCAGAGCTCTTGTGATTACATTGCTAGTGAAGTCAGACTTCAAAGTGAATTGTTCTGCTGGCTGACAGAATGATTAAAAGTAAGGTTCAGCTTCATATTTGGGCAATATTGATCTATAGCAATTGTGGTGTATGTCCTGTGCTTTGTTAACTGAAAAAGAACTAAAGCCTTCCCTTTTCTTCAGGTTGAATACAAAGATTTTCCAAAAAATAACAAGAATGAGTTTGTATCTCTTATAAACTGTTCCTCTCAGCCACCACTGATCAGCCATGGAATTGGAAAGGATGTAGAATCTTGCCATGACATGGTATGTTGAATATTCCCGACATGGTTTCTCTTTGGCCTTCAGTGAACTCAGGGATGCTGTGGGTAGACTGAGGTTTCATATCACTGCTGGATAGCAATGAATTAAACACTGTACAATTCCCTGGCTAGTTTTTGTATAGTATCTCACAGGTTGCTGAAATAATTTATTAATAATACCTGAATCTAATCTAAATAACCTTTAAAATGCATAATATATGCTCACAGTTGTGGCCTACAAAAAGTGTACTAGTTTTATCTTGGTGTTGTTTGCATGAACACATCCTAAAAAGCATGAAAAGGAATTTCTAAAACATTAGAACACATCAGCTTATTTTCTGTAACAGAAAGGGCTGATAATATATTGGGAACTGTAATACTTGGGTTCATGTTGCCAGACTGTCTGCTGGAATGGAATCCAAAGTGGAAGAAATGCAATTCACCATTAGATAGCAGGGGACTCTGTGAATCTGTTAAAGGTCCCTTTATAAAAAAAGATCTTTTATTAAACATAGCTGCAATATTTCTTTGTGAAAGAATGAGTCTTCTAGACTGTAAGCTGTAAGGACTTTGTCTAAAAAAGCCATTACATATTGCTAACAGTATATACACAGTCTAGGATAATTTGAAAACACTTTTGTTCTTTTGGTATCCAGTGGTGGCCTGAATACCAACTGCAGTAATAGTTTGCAGTTTGTGAATACACTCAGGAAAACCTGATTTTATTGGGTTTTATACTAAAAAAAAAATGCAATAATTTGATGCAGACTTCTTTGATGTTTGTGAATTAATTTTGACAATTCACGCCCATCTCAACATCCTGCTGTAAAGAGCTCCTGTAAGACTAAGCACCCAAGTCTGCAGTAAGAAGGGGAAAGTCTGGCCAGATGGGAGCTTAAACATTGTGACTGGGCCATTGTGAGAACCTTCCTCTGTTCAGATACTCAGCTTTCACTGCTGTGGGTACCCTAAATAACCAGGGTTACTCCGAAAACGTGCACCTGAAACTGATCTGAATCAAGCTGAAAAAAATTTCAAGTCTCAAAGGAGGTGACTTACTTTTGCATTGGCCCTGTCACATTGACTTTTCTTTTAAATAGTCACACGTGCCCTACCTGCACTGCATTTTCTTCTTGTATAATTTGTTTTCTTTTCCTGCAAAGCACTTTTTGGTTGTGTGTATTTTAATGTCCTTTGTCTTAAGCTCTCTACAGTTTTAGCCATTACTAATGTAGTGTCTTTTTTCCCTAATTTTAATAGTAATGCTGGATCAGTTTTCCCTGTTGCTAAACCAAATGCAGTCCTCTAGCCACAGCACTGTTCTGTTGTTTAATGTTAAACACCATTGCATTTTTTCCACCATATTTATGCATCTTTAAAAATATATTACTAAAAATTAGAACATTTACTTTAAGTAAGTCCCAGTCCTCCTTTCACTAACTTAATGAAACAGACTCAGGTTGAATTGCTGAACACTCTCTCCTTTCCTTAGGCTGCGTTGAATATTTTAAAGTTGCTGTCTGAGTTGGACCAACAAACCACAGAGATGCCAAGGACAGGAAATGGACCAATGTCTGTGTGAGTGTGACCCACTTCCCTTGCCTTAATGGAAACCTCTAACCCTGTGATGTTCTGTAAACAAATAAAATGTGAGGGGTTTTTTTCTTTGCCAGAAAAGTTAAAATGCCAAGGGCTGATACCTTCTGCAGAAGGATGAGAGGGTAGGTTTTATGATCAAGCTTGTAATTGTCATGCTTCAAATGCAAATTACTAAGCAGAAGCAGGTGGATAAAATGTAAAGGCTGTGATACAGAGCAATTCGGACTGAGATTCCTCTGCTTAAACTATTTGTTTACACATATTTGTAAATAGTGTGACTTTTCAGTGTGTTTCAGTGTTAAAGCTGCTCTTCTTTTTCTAGAAATCTTCTGTCTGTAGTATGTAAACAATGTATGGGTTTCACACCTTGCTTCCAGCAGAAACAGAGGGGTTGCAAATTGCTCCCTTTGACCTGAAAAAAAATTGAGAGGCTTAGCCTTTCATTTAGCTGTCAAAATGGTGGAATTAACCAAATGCTAATTGATTAAAAGTGGAGGCCAGTGATCGTTATATGCACTTCACATTCTTTGCAGCTGATTAACAAGCATCTTATTTGTGGAAATAGTGTTTTATCTCCTAAATAACAGGTGTTTTCTCATTTGTAGATGTGTGAAACAAGAAATGGAAAGTGACCCTCTTCTCAAACCGGCTAACTCAAACACTTTGGGACAAACACTGGACAGCACTGCCTAAAAAAAGGCTTTTGACTGGACCCAAACCTGAAAGCACCAGAGAAAATCAAATGCTTCCTATTAATGTAACCTAACTGTTTTAGAATGCTACAGTCTTTACAACCTACTGTAGTGTCTAAATCATAACCGTTGCTTTTTCTTCAAACAGTGATAAATTTTTTGTTTCATTATGTTGTTTTGATTGAAATGACACTATAAATTTTTCATTTAAAAGTTTCTTAATTGTATCTAGAACAATAGCACAGTTTAGAAACTTTGTCTTCTGAAACTGACATGTTATCTGTGAACTAACTTGGGAAGATCATATCCATGTATGTGGTTATTTTGTTTTTATTGAAATAGCAAAGTTTCACTGGAAACAAATCGTGTGCCCACCATTTTAAAAAGTCCAGCTTAATAGTTTAACTATCCAACGGTTGAATGAATTAAAACTCTTTAGGAATTTTAAACTTTGATCATTTTTTGGTTAATTTCTAGTTTTCTTGAGTGGGAGGGGGGAGGGGAACTCGAATGCAACGTGACTTTAAATGATCTATGTTTTAAAGATTGTGTGTATAGACGGCACACAGCTCACTACATTACAGGATATGATCTCAATGTAGTGCATATAAAACCGCAGATTGATTTTCCTTGAGTGCTTTATACTGTTTAATTACATCTCCATGTAGGGCTGAAAAAAATTACCTATGTTTATATATAAACTGTGTTGCTTTTGATGTTGTGTTATTGCGCACCCAACTGTGCGCAGTAAAGTTTTTTGCATATGGTCCAGGTAAAGCACGATAGCCTTGCAAGTTAAGTACTGCTTCAGTTCATTGTTTACGCTGGAATTTTTTCTCCCCATGGAATGTAAGTAAAACGTAGTGTTTGTCACCAATAAATGGTAATACTAAATTTTTTTTGGTTAATTTATTCTCGTATGCCACAACAGGGGCTGCTTTTTTTTTTTTTTATATAGGATTTGTAATGCTTGTGATATAGTATGGGCAGTATTGTAAAGCTATGGAGTAACTGTACAATGGTTATCAATTACATATAAATAACTACTATTTAGTTATGTGGAAGATGTGAGAACCTGGCAAGGTCAAGGAAATTCAAAAGTAATGTGGGTACATTTTGTTATTTGTGCCACAGTGTGTTAGTGCAACTGTATTAATGGGAGCTTAAACTGGAGTTGTGGTTATGACAAGAAACCTGGCACGACAGGTTGGTATGATTTCAAAGTTTAAGTCTCTACTTTTAAGTTTCCTTGTTTGCTTGTAATTTGAATCATAACCTTGCCTTGCACTTAGTAATTTTCTGGGGGGTAGTACTTTCAAAACAAAACTTTCCCTCTAGCAACTAAAGCTGGCAGTGTAGCCTGACACATGACAGTGTATCGTTTGGATGTGAACTACCTTCAGTGTGTACTTACCTGGTAATCTGTAGCAGCACTTCCTAAAAACCTATTTGCAGAATGTGTAGTAACTGTTGTCACAGAAAGCAGCTGCTGCACATGCTGTGTCTCAAAGCTAAATGTCTTGGCCATCTTAATTGCATTATGAAAAGCAATTGGGCCACATTAACTGCATACCAAATTTTATTTAATCAAGTTGGGTTTGATCATAAGCAAAAAAAATTGTAAAGTTTTTGGGGTTTGCTTTTTGGTTTTGTTTTTTTTTACATTTGTAGAACTAAATGCTGTACATTTAAAAATTAAAAGAAACTTGCTAGGCTGAGGCTTTGTATTGCAAATTCTTACAACTTAGAAACTACTTAACAATTTATATTGGAAAATGGATACCACATTAAGAGTGGTGTAAATGGTCTCCCTGCCTTTATCTGTTGCTACTTAGGAGTTTTCTCCTTGCAATGGGACTAGAGCCTATTCTTGTAGTTTGCAGTATTCATTTGTTGATAATGCTGTGTTTCATATGAACCTGGATTAAGGCACTTTGCTGTAGATACCTCTGTTTCAGTACTCTTGAATGCATCTGTCATTTTGGAGGTCTGTGTAAGAGGAGATTCTTTTGTCAAAGCCCTTTTAATCACAGCCTCATGATGGAAGACTTCAGGTCACTATGTGGATTCTAGGTAAGCCAGTGAGTTCCAGATATAAGTGGGTTTCTTCTAGAGCACTACAGTCACTTGTTTTTTCTGTCGTCTCCTCTGTGCTTGAGGCAGCAAAGGCCAAGAGTGATTACATATAATATATAATCACCTGAAGGCTTTATATGACACTTGTTATAGTAACATGTTCTACAAAGAATACAAATAAGAGAAAACTGAGGTGAAGGTGAAATTCTCTGACTGGTGTAGTTTAGCAGGCTAGTACTGGGATAAAGCATACATTTCTGAGTAGAAATTAGAAAATTACTTTCTAATATTCACAACTTAATTGGTTAGGAAATTGGTTAGCAAATTTTACCAAGCATTTTTCTCCCCATTATCTTACTTGACTCTGCTTAAATTACCACAAAATTTTAGTAAATTAATGCATGTTTTTCTGTGTTTCTCCATAAGTATTTGGCAGTATGGCAGCACTAAGCTGAGTGTTCCAGAATCTGCTGTACATTCAGCAAATTGCAAAATTTTGTACTCAAAACAGTTCAGTTCAGCTGCAGAGCTTCCCTTTAATCACTTTCAAATGGGAGTAAGAAAAGTGGCATATCTATCAGGCTTGTAACTATTGTACTAACAATAATCTGAGATAGTGATCTTGTTTCTTTTCAAAATGTACCACATTATTATCCCAGTCTCTTAAATCGTGTAGCCAGTGTTCTGCAAGTAGGGCTGCCCTTAGGCCACTGCTCCCAAGTGCAGAGGAAGGAGGTCTGATCTTAAGGGGCTTCCACTCCTGATTTAGTAACTTGTAACTGGGAGTGATTCCTGAGGAGGGAGGTCACTGGGGAACAGGGATGTGACATGGCAGAATGAGTCAGTGAATTTCAGTGCATTTCAGTAGTGTTCATTTGGACCTTTTTTAATGACTCCGCCCATCCTACTTCCACATGTGGAGTATATGGGCTCAAAGGAAGCAGCTGAGGAGTTTGGAAACCAGATTCTGGAAATAGATATGTTCATTTTCCAGTGGTTCAGGCTATAAATAAAATCAGCAGAGACCAGACAGTGTAGGTAATACCTTTTCCTTCACCAAAATTGTCCTGTCTTTCTGTATTCCCTCACATGTCTAGACTTCGACAGACTCCAGTCTTTGTGGTATTTTCTGGTGTTGGACAGAAAGCACTCCTCACTGTTTTCTCCAATTCCAAAGCTGTAAGCTAACATCTAAACTCTAGCAGCTTCTGAATGCTTTCCTTCAAGTCTATACTTATTTGTAGAAGTATACAGCTGCACTAAGAGTGGCTCTTTGTCAAAAGAATGATACTGTGACACTGTTCTTTGAAGAGGTGCAGTCAAATGTCCCTTGTATTGCCCTGTGTAAGGACCTAGAGTGGTTTGTGTCTGTGCTGCCTGTGAAACCTGACCCATGAAGCCTTTTCCAGTGCTGCATTACAAGGCTTAAAGACTGCTGGTCATGTCTTCTATTTTAAGTACCAAGTTGCACTCTTAAGTTGGTGTACAAGAAGGAAGGTGTAGACCATATTCACCCAGGGATTTTGGAGTATTATCTGCTTTTTTGAATGGGTCAGTTTGCTGGACCACATAAAAGTTAAAGGAGAATAATGAAAATCGGTCACACCATTTTTTTAAAGCAGAATATTTTGTTACTGGGAAGTCCTGACTCCCCAGAGGAGTAACACAACTTTTAATCATCCATCATTCTTGTTTCAGGATGGAGCTCTGAAGGAAAATAATAATTTATGCAAAATTTATTTTGGGAATGCTGACCTGTAGGATATTTAAAATGTCCCCACAGAATGAGAACCTGGATTTGCTGCAATACCTTTTTGTTCCATAATATTAAAACACATTCCCATAGCTTTTTGTCATTGTTTTTTTTCTTTTTAGGATATAGACACCTGATAAAAATCCTGTCTGAAATGACTCAGTTGGGGAATCTGGAGTCAGCAGGGCAGTTATCCTTGTGTTCAGTTTTCTGGTAAAAATGTAGTTGTACTTGGAGTTCCACTGCAATTATTATGGTACCTAAGGATCAAATGAAAATTCTGTTCTAACTCACTGATCAAAGTTTAAAAAACGTCTGCTGTGTCATAATGTGTCAAGACAAATGGTGGATGTTCCAAAAGTGCCTAACTGCAGGAAGGGATAGGATGTGTGTGTACCCCTTCACCAGTCTTCTTGTTCTGTGAAGCAACCACGTAATTGTTTGCTGCTTTTATTTTGAAAGTCTGCGATAAAAACCAGCAGTAAGTGTGAATCAATGTAATATCTTCCTTAAGGGCTTCTGTATTTTATTTAGATGACTTATCTGTTTAAGCTCAGACTTAAAGGCTGTTCCAGAGGTGGTTACGAATCCAAAAATACTCAACTTTATCTCTGTGGCTGTGACGTGCTGCATTGCTTCCCTTTACCTGCTGATTGGATACATACACTGATTAACACCCAGGAACTTCTGAGCAAGAACCTGAACATCCCACGGAAGGCGGCTGGGGAAGAAAATGAATTGTTAGAGCAAATTAAAATCCCAAGGGTATTAATTTAATCTCTGGATTAGAACTGAATAAAAGCATACAGATGGTGAATAATACTTATCCAAGAGTGTATTTTATTCTCTGACAAAACAAATTATTTTGTATACCACTAGTAGTATCCTAATGAAACAAAATGTATTTGATTGAAAATAATAATGCTTTTAAAATTTACTCCTTCTCCCACTTCCAGTTTCACAGTATTTTAGCAACCTGATAATAGAGAATATGAACAGATTTTAAATGTCCCATATAAATGATGCAGATCCTTCACAGGGAATGCTTTCAATACTTTCATTCTCTGCTACCATTATTTCATTATTATTTCCAACTAAGAGAGAGTATTTTATTATTAGTGTTCCCAAAGAAGGCAATCCCAACCCTGTGGTAAGGGACAAAACCTCTGATGCAAAATCTCTTCGGTGACAACTGGACATCTGAACAGACACTAATCTCTGTTCCCTGTGTTATCATGGCTGCAATCTCTCCAGCTGCTGCTGTTGCCATTTTAAAGCCACAACCAGGTACTGTCACAGCAGGGATATATGTTGTGGTCTGATTGCTAAGTATTGTTTTCATTGTTGTTTACACAGTAGTTTTAGAAGGGGGCTATTTAGCAATTGCTCAGAAAAGAACAATTGGGAAAGGAAGGCATCACTGAAAAAACCCTCATCGGTAGTTTGTTGTAAATAAAATTCAGTGTAACTGTCCTAAAAACTGCCACTGTATTTGCCTTTAAAAAGTTTCTAAATTCCCTTTAAAGCTTCAAAGCTGGAAGGAGATACAGGGGAGCTTATATATAAAAATGTTGAGGCACCAGGTTATTTTAACCACTAAAGAAAATGTGCTACTTTCAACTCACAAATATTGCATTTTAATAATTGTCTCTTCTAAGCATCTGAGCAATAACTTGAGCCTTCTCTTGTACTGTATTAACTTCAAAGATAACTGTTGTTTTCGGTGAGTGTTTTAACTTCTTTTATTTCCATGTACTAAAGGGCTGATGTAGAAATCCAATGCTGACTTTTATTTAAAAGAAAGGTTTTCCCTTTGTCCTGTGCTGTCTACCTCATCACCTCCTGATCCCAAGAAGCCACCAGCAAGGCCCGTGGTACCTTCCTGATTGTAGCTAGTAATAAACGGTTTAGATTAACTAAACTAGTCTTTATCTGTTGAACCAAAGCATTGCCATCCAAGTTAAACTGAAAAAGTCTTGTAATGTATTTGAGGTCCTGCACATGGTCTTTCAACATTGCAGTTGAAAAGCTTGTCCTGTGTAAGTGGACTAAAAGCACTCAGTTA